TAGTGCATTATTCATAAAAAAAATTATATTGTTTAGTCACTTTTTAAAATGACCAAAAGTCAATTATACTTTTCTTTTTGTATGTTTTATTTACATTAAATTATTGATTAAAACTATGTGAAAATAAAAATGCTCACATTTTGGAATGTAATAAAACGAGCATCGAAGGTGTCACGAATCTAAGTATAGTAACCGCCACATGTTCACATGACGGTATATGTCTGCTAAGAGAATAATGTAAAAATCGCTTTTTATCATGAAGCTTATATCGATACACAGGAACCTTCAAGTAAACGTGGCCATTTAGTGGTACCCGTTGGCAAATTCCCCAACCGGTCATTATAAGCCACTCGGTGCAGTTATTGATTAAATACGGCACCGGTAGGCATATTGTACGGACTAATGGGGACAGATGACGACGTAATTTAATCATGCCCAAATCGACACGGTCCCAAAACACATCCTTGTTATAATCAGGGTGAATATACTGTAAGTGCGTTCCGCTGTATCGCGATAACCCCAAATGTTTCGGGTAGATATTGTTAAGCCATCGCCAGAATGTATATCAATAGCGACAAATGACCTAGATACATTTAATGTTAATAATATTAATTTAACATGATAGGCTAATTTTGTAATTACGTTAAACACTGTCCGGCCGTCAATACCCAACGCGGTGCTATTAATGTGCCTGTGCATATTTTTGTTTTGTTCGCACCATTGGTTATTACGAGCAACACTACCCATGGTGCTTCGCTCGTTGTGGCGTTTCTATCCCGGGCCATTTCACGCCTCTCTTGTTGACCATAATCGGCACAATTGCGAGATATTGCACCTGGATGTCTCTCCAACCCACATCTATTGCTGTCGATTTGCGGATAATTGCCAATTACCAAGCTCTTTTCCATTAATTCATAACCTAGTTAGTAATTATTTAATCATGTTAATTTTGAGCTGTATTAGTTTTAAGTTATTATAAATTATTGGGTTATTGTTATAAAGATATTCTCAGAATTAATTGTTTATATTATTATAGTTTGCTTGATGAAAATTACTGAATAGAGAACTTACAGCTAGATGTTGTAATTAGTGCTAGTAATATTATCTAGGTCAAAAAGTACATTTTAGGTAGATTTAATTGCAGAATATTTCATTTAATATTCAACTTTATATACAGTATTTTGTAATATTTATTATATTTTGTTGAGATGTGTAGATTCTGTTCGATCACCAGCTATTGTACCCACAATTAGTGGACAATAAAAGTACACTTCGCTAACAATTAACAACTTTATTACAAATATTGAGAGTTGTGTTCACTTCGAAGAGTGAGAGAGAACTGCGAGTAATACATGGGAAGAGTGAGTCTTATATAGTGATGATTGACATTAAGGTAATTGATAAGTGATGAGTATAGAGTGTGCATATCGTATGATAATGAGGTGATTGAAGGGTTTGCTGATTGGACAGGTAGCCCAATAGACTCATCATGAACACTCACTGGAATATTACCAGGAGTGATAATATCAAGTTCACGACATTCCCCGGGGTTTTGTCTGTCCCGCCGATGGAAACGTTGCTTCGGTTGTGAAGCGTGAATGTGAAGAGTGTTATGAGAAGTCGACTCGTTGGCAGTTCGGGTGACGGGGTGTGAGTGACAATACTCTTCGGTACGTACGAAGAGTAAAGTGTTGTTGTCGGTGTTGAATACCAATCGACGGAAACGCATAATAAGCTGATCCAAACGTCTGGCCATACACAACGTATGTGTAGCGAAGGCCTGATCCTGATTGCCACCATCGATGGACACGTGAAGACTTGAGTACAACGGTGTGTAACCATCAGTAGCTGAGGACAGGTAGGGGTCGTATCCCAACGGATTAATGACCGGACTTTGGATGCCATTAGCGCTTCGGAAGACAGGTGTAGCGAAGGAGTGAAGAGAAAAACATACAAAAATCATTAGTAATGTTTTGAAGAGTTTTTTGAAACAAATTTTCGATTTGTTTGTTTTGGAAGGGTTTGGATTCGGTGGTGATTCTTGAAGTTTGTCGACACTATCTGTTGTGTCTTTAGGTTGAGCGATGTCTTCGGCCACTCGGGTCGAAGGCTTACGACGGACTCGACGTTTGCGACGACAGAGCACTCCATTTGTTGAGCGCTTTTGAACAACAATTTTGTTCACAGAGTTTGTGGCGAAGTCTTCGTGTGAGGATAGTATGGGGACCGATACGCGTCCAGCGCTACGTGTTGTCTTCGAAGACGTACTGAGCGTTGATATCAGGCATACCTTCTCCTCGGGAAGAATAGGCTTCGGCGGACAAACTCTGGCAGTTTTCGTTGCGAAGTCGACGGCAATGTGGTACTGACCACAAATTTCGACACTAAGCGTAAGTGTATAATCGAAACCTTCGAGTATAGTAGCGGTGATGTTGTGTGTAATGCCATCGATTGTCAAATCAAATGACACTTCGTTTGAGACGGCGGCTGATCCACGGGCGAAGAATATATTACCTTCGGAGCGCTTAGTGGGCTTCAGTCGAAGGGAGCGCACGTATTCACCAGATATAATGTTAACATCGGATCCACTATCAACGATGGCTGTCGTTTGATGACGGTCTTTGATGAGTACAGGAATCGTTATTAACGATCGCTCCGGTAAATCGACGTGATGTCTGCTCATAAAGTTTCGCTTTGGTGTTGTATCAGTCGGTTGTTTGCCATCAGTGGCGGCGGTAATTGCTTGTTGTGTCGTTTGTGTGGGCACTAGTGGTCTGTTTGGGCACTGACTGTGCCAATGCTTAGCGAAAAGACCTTTACCTTGACAATACTTGCAATTAGGTATTGTAGGATTGGATGGCGAAGAGGTTGTGTTGTTCAACACATCATCGCAGTGTTGAAGTGTGCAGAGTATGCGACCATCAGATTGGGCGGACTTCGAAGAGAGTTTGGTATTGAGAGCTTTCGGAACCTCTCGTAACTCGATTTTGCGTGCGATTCGTAACCAGTCTTCGGTCGAAGCGATGTCTTTACCAACGAGTAGATCCTGGTATCGGTCCGGGAGGCCACTGGTTAAGAGGTCGACCTTTTCCTCTTCGCTGGCCGAAGTGTTAACAAGCAATGGCATCATCGCGTCGTAAAAGGACTTTACGGTATCGGTTGATGTCATTCTCTTCTTCGAGGCCTGTATTAGAGGTGACGGTTCGGCCGACAGGAATCGTTTAGTGAGTCGGTTGCGGCACTCGGCCCAAGTGATCGTTGAGATGTCTGCGGCTATTCTGTCTGAATAGAAGTCGAGTGCATCACCAGATAAATAGGACATCAGTTTAACGACCTTTGGTTTATCTGTGGTGAGCTTCAACTCGTCGATGACTATCTCGAAGAGCGGTAACCATCGCTCAATAGTGCGAACACCTGTTCCGGTGAAAGGTTCGAGCTTTGGGTCTTTGGGGACCGGCGTGGTAGTGGTGGACATTGTGGCGAATGGTTGAGTTGGCGATTCTTCGAAGAGCCAATGAAAGATGAGAATTGGTGGGCGTCCGGGACCAACGGGAACCGATTCGTCGAAGTAATACTCGTAAAAGTTTGATGTAATTGTGGCGAAGATTTGCGGCGACCTATCCTACCGACTGCGCCAAGTGTTGAGATGTGTAGATTCTGTTCGATCACCAGCTATTGTACCCACAATTAGTGGACAATAAAAGTACACTTCGCTAACAATTAACAACTTTATTACAAATATTGAGAGTTGTGTTCACTTCGAAGAGTGAGAGAGNTGTTGAGATGTGTAGATTCTGTTCGATCACCAGCTATTGTACCCACAATTAGTGGACAATAAAAGTACACTTCGCTAACAATTAACAACTTTATTACAAATATTGAGAGTTGTGTTCACTTCGAAGAGTGAGAGAGAACTGCGAGTAATACATGGGAAGAGTGAGTCTTATATAGTGATGATTGACATTAAGGTAATTGATAAGTGATGAGTATAGAGTGTGCATATCGTATGATAATGAGGTGATTGAAGGGTTTGCTGATTGGACAGGTAGCCCAATAGACTCATCATGAACACTCACTGGAATATTACCAGGAGTGATAATATCAAGTTCACGACATTNGTGATGAGTATAGAGTGTGCATATCGTATGATAATGAGGTGATTGAAGGGTTTGCTGATTGGACAGGTAGCCCAATAGACTCATCATGAACACTCACTGGAATATTACCAGGAGTGATAATATCAAGTTCACGACATTTATTTAAATATTTTATATAATTTTGTAAACATTCTGACAGGTATGCAAATAATGATACATCACAATATTTATGTTTAAATCCAACACAATTAGTAAATATGGTAAAATTTATAACAATTTAATAGTAAACAATACCATATTGTATGTATTCATGTAATTCATATATTCTATGTCAATATCAAAACTCCTGACCTCTTTTGCCGGAATCCGTGAAGTCTAAAATTGTTTGCAAAGTATATTTTTTAGAAATTATCATGGTCATATGTTAATGTACGGGCACAATGTGATTCACCGGCCGTACCGTTAATCTTTGATTTAAAAGCAATTCAATGCTTATTTGTATTAATTTGTATACATTAGTATTACCATATTTACAGTATAGTGAAAATTCAATTGGTTCATAATCATAGTGCATTAATAATACATGTATTACCGTAACGTTTCCATAGAAACGAGATGAAAGAGAGAGAGAGAGAGAGAGAAAGAGAGAGAGAGAGAGCAAAAATATAAATGTTTTCTGAATACAACAGATCACATACACATAAATACAATTAAATGAATTATGGTTAAAAATATTTATTTAAAATATATGTAAAGCAATTTTGTAATTTTATAAGTACCTAAGTGTACAGTATTATGTTATTTTGAAAATGCGCGAGGTAAACTCATTGTAATTTGTAACAAATTATAACTATTAAAATCACTTTGGCCAGGTCATAACATAATTTAAATATAGTTCCATGGTCGCGCTAAATGTTTCAAATTCTGGTCTTTGCTTAAAATCTTTATCCATTAAATCGGTTTCCATTCGGTTTAACGTCTAAATTATAAATTAATTTATGAAATAATAATTATTTATATAATCCATAAAAACAACACAAACCATAGCAAACATCTCAGTCAGGCTATTATACGCCGAGTATTAAGCTATTATATGGCTAAATGCTTGACCAAATACACTAACGTTCCCAATTGGACCATGTACATCCGTGTTGTAATACATTGGAAATCCTGGTAATTTAAATTTAATATTTGCTAAATTAAATCTTTCATCTAGTTCTAATGTAGCTAGTTTTGTTCTAATTAGTCAATATTAGTACATATAGCTATTATTTTTCAAAATTCATTTTCACAATAAAGTAAAAACATTATTTAATATTCATTTGAATAAATATCAAGCTAATTAAACTACAGTATTACATACCCTCACAACACGCGTATATTACGTGAGTCTGTTCTTTGTTGACATCAAATTTAGGATTGAGCATGGTCAACTTATTAATGAGTGGCGATTCTATTGGGCCCAACAAATGACCATCACGTTTGAAATTAAAATAACTATTTGTTACAATGAAATTGCAAACGTTGGACGCTATCTCTAAATAAGTGTAAAAAATGAATATTTTGTCGTATATTATCATTAAATAATAAATTGAAATGTTAAAATAGATTATTCATACTTATGCGGTCGCAGTTGAAAATAAACACCTTCGACTTATGGCGCAAAGCGGGAGACCGAGTCCAGCCAAATGTGGCCACTATTTCACTGATGGCCATAATATTGCACTCATTTGGTGGCCATTGACTTGTGTCGGTCCGGCCTATGATGTGCTCATTATAGCCTTTGCCGATAAACATCATAATAAACAAGTCGCCATTGTATGTGTCTGTATTGGCCAACTCGCTTAACTTATTTTTAAATCCGTCACAGGTCAATCCAGAATAAACATCTGATTCAAATAGTAACTTTGTAAAAATTGATTTGAATCGTTCGGCCTCATTGGCCAACTCGGGTAGCGTAACAAATATAACGGCCCGACCCTTGGGGTTAGCATTCATTTTCAACTTTGTTGATGCCTTAGTACATAATGTTTGCTCATTTTGAATGTGAAGGTAAATTTGATTTGAATATGGCCATGGTGATTCGCATTGATGATATTCATGATGTGGCTTGGTGAATTCATTTTGTTTTTTAATTATTTCTTTAAAATAATTATAAATTAATTGATAATGAATTGAATTTGCGTTAAATATAGGGATTCGCCACAGAATTGCACTTTTCATCCGTGAGATTATAGTAGCGTTGATTTGGTTTGCATTTTCACCAAAAATATTATTGAATTCATTCATTATATCAGAAATATTAATATCTTCTGACCCCTCGAGTAATCCAGTAATAAAAACTTCTATTTGATCCAAATTTACACCAAATGAATCCATGATATATGACTTGTAATCAAGGTCTTTATAACCATTTCTATTAAATTTTTGTTTCAAAAAATTTATTGCTAATAAAATATTATAAATATATTGTTGCATAAGTTATTAAAAAATATTGGCTATTTAAATAAAAAATTTCATGTTTATATAAACACTTCAACTTACTTTGAATACTTGAATTGAATTTCAAACAAACTAGCTGCCAATTTTCCAATACTTATATTAATATTACCATTATCCTCTATTATATTAATTAATTGGCTAATTACTACACCGTACTGATCTACTTCCTCACCAAGGTGATTCGCATAATATGTTTTGTAATCCATATTTTCATTATCCATACTATAAAATTTAAAAAAGTCATGATAATCTTGAGATAACTTTGGATAAAAATTTAGCAATTTTTAAGTATATTTTAAAATATGCAAAACGAGTGATCAAAAAATACTTGATTAATAATTGAATTACTGTAAAATATTTAATTCTATTTTACTATTACTATTTTTAGTTGTATCAAGTCTAAAAGTCAAGTCTATTTATTATGAATTTACCAAACATTATTCTCATATTTTATAAATAATATATACACATTTAATAAAATCTCAAATCTAAATTAATATTCTACTAATCTTAACCTTTTGTCCAATAAATACAAACTTTTATTTATAATAAATAAAAATATATAATTAAATTGTCCATTACCCAATTTCTGGTGAATTCCATTTAATAAAAATAGTGGCAAAAACAGCTAATTTATTATGATTGCCAAAGTGTATATATGTTGGCCTCGATTTAAATAGATTCCTATATTCATCACAATATACTTTCATAGCATTTTCACCCATTATATAATCGCATATAATGTATATGTGTTTACTATTCATTGAAATGTTTTCAATATTTATTTCCAAAGCAATCAATTCTTGAATACAATGTAATAATTGTCTCAACAATTGCTGTGAAATAAGGAAATCAATTGAAATCATTGCTAACGAGTGATGGGTTTGTGTCCCGAATATCACATGTTTTGCATTTATGACATCCCATAGAGTTTGCGAACAATACTCCCATTGAATGAAAACGTATTTATTTTCTATCCAAGAGTTCTGGATTTGAAGCAATGATTGGGGTTTTAACGCAAATATTTGTCTAATATTTGCCACAATTTCCTGAATTTCATCATAATCTATTTATTAAAAATAATAAAATTATTTGTTTTAATTTCATTATATAATTATCGAATAATGGATTAGTTTATTAATAGTAAATTATAATTTAATACTTACAAAAATATACTGTTTTCATTATATAGTAATATTTATAAGTTATTTCATTTTGCACTATGCCAAACATTCTAAAGCCGTATGACTTATAAAATCTGTCAAGCTCACTTTTATAATATTTAAAGTTATGGATGATTTCTGAAACAATTAAACATTAGTTGAACAAATGGACTAAATAAATGCCAAAACAAAATTTACCATTATTTTCATTACTTTCTTGGCAAATAACACAAATCTTATGGCATTTACAATAATAATTGAATAATAAAGTAAATTTATTTTCAATTATTTTATTAAATAATAAATCGTTTTCTTCAACAATTGTATCAATCGATAAATCCTTTAATGTGTCTAATATTATGTGACAATCGGGTCGTTGTTTCCATAACTCTGTATTGTTATCACAATTATCTGTATATATATTAAGACTCATTGATAGCAATAATGTATACATTTGAACCATTTTGGTCCTGAGGTCGACATTATCTATACTTTCAAAGTCGTAATTAAACCTAAAGTCAAGTTATTTTTAAATTATTTTATATTTAAATGTAAATAATATTTAAATAAAAACATACACTCCGTCTCTGATATCCTCGGAATCGAAACCAAATATTTTCGCTCCAATGAGTGCCAGACTATAGACATCTATTAAATGGTTGTATTCAGTGGTCTGTCCTTCGGGTGCCATATAATTAACATTGTCTATGAAATCAGGTGTGTTTTCACTGTAACTTTGTTTGTAGTGTTCACTAAATATATGCACTTCTTTAGACAAACCGAAGTCACATAACTTTATATATCTATCACTGTTTTGTTCATAAGAGTTATCAATCAATACGTTATCGGGTTTGAGGTCTCTGTGAATGATATTATTTTTATGCAAATACTCCACACTTTCCACCAATTGTTTGAATAATTGATATGAAATATAATAATCAAAATGAGTTGTTATAATTTTTCTCAACAGTTTTCTCTTAATTGCCAAAACTTGTGTTAGATTTCCGGCCAAACAATCCATTTGAAAGTAAAGTAATAAAACTTTATAAACAGTTGTTTTCTATCCATGAATAGTAGTATTGTATGACATATTCTGAGCGCAATTTAATTAATTTTTCCGTTTCTTTTAAAACATTTTGCTTCTCTTTTTCTGTCAAAACTAAACTCAAAATAATAATAATAATATGTATTTAATTATTATTAAATATTTATAACATACGACAATTTAATAAAACATTACCATTTAAGGGGCATTTTTTAATAGCAAATTGTTCGCCACTATTTTTATCGCTTACTTTAAACACGTGACCAAAAGCACCGGATCCTAACTTTGCTAGTATTTCATACATTCCCATATTATTTAGTATACGAGTTGACTCTAATTGCATTAAAATTAATTAATTATTTAGAATTTTATTACTGAAAACTATATAATTGCTGAATCTAATTACCATGGTCAACGTTTGTATTTGTTTTATAATCACACTCAGGACTTTTAGTTATATCAATGGTTTTATAAGTCATTTGATGTTCATTAGCGAAGTAATCATTAAATGTTGTATATTTTGTTTCACCAAAATCTCCATTATATACGTAAACCTTATCACCAATTAGTGCAACCATAATATCGATGGTAAGATTTTTTGTTTGCGCTAGCTCATTAACTAATACATTTTTAATTTCTATTAAGTCCTGGCAAAGTATATCTGATTTATAAATATGCATATCGTTTGATAATATAATTAATGATATTTCAAAAGTAAATATTGCTCTAATATTATTATAATTTTCCACTAATGTAGAAATTCTAGAATCATTTCTTCCGATTCTATCCCACATAAACACCTGTCCGTTGGATGTAATGCCGTACGAGTGATAGGTATTGCACATAATGTCCACAATTTTATATTCAATGGGAAATTGTTTCAATTGGTTTTTGTGTTTCTATTGCATTATATCTCCATTGATATACCCGTCCATCGGATGTCAGAGCAATAGTTGTGTCAAAATCACAGTTTATTTTTTCAATACGTATATCATGTGAATTACATACTATAATTTTATGCGGTTTATTATAAGTGTCTTCAATATTTTCAATCGAGGACTTATTGCGACCCCAACTATATATCTGTTGATCGCTATTCAAAGCCAATACAAAGTCTAATCCAATGAAAAATTGTTGTATATTTTGATGACTTAATTGTAGCACTTCTTCGGGTGTATGTATGGGTCGGTTGTGTCCCAAACCCAACACTCCCTCACTATTACTGCCCAACCCATAGACCCGATCACTAGACGTGACAAACAATATATTTCGTTGTTTTGAGTCTTTGTCAATAAAAACATGAAATAATTTAATTTCTTGTCTCAAAGTGTATGGAATTTTATCAAAAATTTCAAACTTATTCAACATTTCAGACAATATTTAAAATTTTATTATAAAAATTAAAAACGTATATTTTATTTAAAACTTAATATATAATATCTTAAACTTAAAATTATTGTATTTTGTAGAAACTTTATTATCATTCACAATTATTTAAATATAACAGAAAATGGTGTTAATAGTGTTCTTTATTAAAAATATTCAGTAGATTGTAATAAATATATGAATATATGATTGATTACAAGGTTTGGTTGTTAGAGACGAACCCAAAACACATGATAATTGCCATACATTTTATAACAACCGTTGATTTCTTTCAAACAAAGATTACGTGACAAACGCCAGACATAAACACATATTTCAAGGCTTTGGCACAGGTTTACAAAAATATCACAGTTTGTAAAACTGCTTTTTCAATCACATACTGATCATGGTACTCGATATATTATAATTTTACCATAAACACATCAATACGATATTATATTTAATACATAATACTTAATATTATATTCGTAATATTATATTTATACATTAAAGCGTATAGTTTTAATCAAAAGTTAACATCATATTTTCATTAAATGCCATACATGTATACCGAATAGAAAATATTTTCTGTTGATTACCTCGATGTAAATGGCATTGAAATAAAGTGGTGGCGCCTTTTGATTTTAAATATTTCCCAAATTTTATTGAGAGAGAGAGAGAGAGAGAGAGAGAGAGAGAGAGAGAGAGAGAGAGAGAGAGAGAGAGAGAGAG